CTGCGGGTTAGTACACCTCACAGACACTCACATAATTATAGTATTATAACAGATGTCTAACTGCTACCAACAAAGAGTTAAATTACACCCCACCTTTACTACATTTTGGACATTCTTTTGAAATTTAATTACTTAATAACTAATACGTTAGGTCAACACCGACTTCAACCCTTTCACTTGTGCAGTAATACTTATTACATTAACAGTTTGAGTTTGTTGTGTGATAAAACAAAAGTCATCACATTATTATTCATTTAGTACATAACTCTCATCAGTTTTATAGTAACATTACTTCAATGCTTAATTCGCTGTTCTCTTATTTCATAATTTGTGTATACTTCATAACTAACATCACTTAGAATTATTAACAATTGGTATAGAAATTAGCCCACCTTAGAGTTCATGTTTTAGATTGTTTTATAAATTACCTTTCCTTTGCGGTTTTAAAAAACATTATGTACTTGCTATACACGCAAGTACACGACCCAATCGTAACAATAAATAAATAACCTTTTAAATATCCTATCACGCATACATTCTGGACATTCTTTTGAAATTTAATTAGTTATTCCTTGATTAATTAGGTCAAAACCGTCATACATAATAATACTTATTAAATTAACAGTGTAAATTCATTGTGTTGTTGTGAAACAAGCCATTACATTATTATAAATTTAAAACAATGTGGATCAACATAATACCTATCACATATTATTATTGTCTCATGGATTTTCCTCCTAAATATATTTACCTAACTTTTGTGGTTCTACAAAACTTTATGTAGGTACTTGCTATAACAATAAGTAACAAATAGATATAAATAACTCCTAAATAGAGTTAAAGAATCACAGTTTCGTATAGATTCATAGTTTTGATTTCACAGTATATAATAATATACTTAATAACTAATAGCACTTACAATATTATAGCCTATCTTAGAGTTAATATTTCCTGTACATTATTTCATACATTTCTTTGGCGGTTCAGCAAATTGTGTACACGCAACACAAACGTATCTCCATAAACCAACTCTCAGCTACTAACAGACCTTTGGCTCAGCAATTAATTTAAAATTAATTATATTTCTCAAGGTTCGTCTCACTCGGATCCCATGTTGTATCCGCTGTTCTTCCCGTACGGCGAGGCCGGTTGGCATAACGAGATGTTGCAAGAGGGCCCTCGACGAAATAACGTCCGCAGTCGAAACTCTATAAGAGAGTTTGCGTGCTACCGCATGGCCATTCGATACGAGGGAAATAACGACACGAGGCACCATTCCTGCCGATTCTTGCCGCAAACCACGGAATTCCTGCTCTAACGGTTTTCCCGGAAAGTCGAATTTTCCACGGGTGGGGCTGGGGTAACGTTACTCTAGCCCCACCCACATTCAAAATTTGACTTTTTGCAATTTTTTTTTGCGCCAATTTTTAGTGCTCGATTCCTGCCGTTTCTTGCCGCAAACCACGGAATTCCTGCTTAAAAACCGCCCCCGTAAAAATTAAAAAACTATATTTGCGGTGGGGGAAACGTTTTTCCAACATCCAAAGGTCGGAATTCGACCTTTTTAACTTTTTCCAACGCCAATGTTTAGTGCTCGATTCCTGCCGAATCGTGCGAATTGATGAAAACGATGAAAAAAGTAAGTACATTATTGAGATTATTAGATTAAGAAACACATTTTCATGTAGGTTTAGGTAATTTGTCTTAAATTTTATGGATTGAATATTTGCAATTGATTAATTAATCAGAGCATTTTTAAATTAAAATGTTCTTACAAAGTTTTATTTTAAATAATAATATATTTATTTCTATTGCGCTAGGATTAAAAAATGTTAGTTTTTACCACTAGGTACTCAAACTATAATTCATGTTTATTAATATTTTAAAATAAATTCTTTATTCTGTGTATAACATATTAAGAAGATTGGACGCCACAGATTTTAGCAAAATAAATCTATGAATGAAATATCTGCGTATTGTAGACAGTATGTAATTTATAAATGTTTTACATTAGGTATTTAGGTACATTGGTAATATTGTAATTTATAGTAGATTAGTAAGCAAAGTAAGTTATTAATATAGACCAGGTCAATGCAGGTGAATATACTGAGTTCTGAGGCTATATAAATAAATACAATATTAATAAATTATTTTATTCTAAATAAACAACGAGTGAAGGGGGGTTTAGCTGTATGTTATGGTACCAATACGCAATGGAAAGATTGTTGTAATGCGTGCATGTAAGCACTGTAAGCACTGCTTACACTTTAAATGAAAGAAAAAATAAATTTGATCAAACACGACTAATAGGTACATAATAAATGATTTTTAAAATTTTAATTTTATTTATAAAATATTTAAGTTATAGCTGGTAGTGGTTTTTGTTATTGTTTATTTGTGTCGTACGCTGTCTACTGATTACCAACTATTTTAAGAAAATCATCGATTGTAGGTCTATTTTTAATCCATTCTGTATTATGTTAACTGCATAATCATAATACGATAATATACAGTGTAACACATTCTGAAATTGCTTACGCGCAACTGTTGTTTTCGAATAGTCTATAGTGCCATAGTGGGGGTCACGTATTTAACTAGCGTTTGTAAGCACATTTGATTTTGCTTACGCGAGAAACAAGAAGCGACCAGTACGGCAGTACGTAGCCCGACGCGTTGTAGACTGAAGTCGTTTTTAGGTACACTGTCACTGTACACTGTCACTGTCATTCGCCTAATAGACTTTTGAAGTATTTATACTTCAATTTCTTTATTTTCTCTAATTTGATTTGTACAACTAGTATATTTTTAAAAATATTAAAAATTTTAAAAGGATAACATTTTTTTATACATAATTTATAATTAGGTATTTAGGTATAGTACCTATATTCTAATCACTTTTGAAAAAAAAATTCACTGCTTACATCTTTTTAATACCCAAGCCACGCCACTGATAGGAACATAACTGGCGACGATGGCGAAAAATAACGGGCATTGATAATATTCGTTATTAAATAATATTATAGGTATTTATATTTTATACGAATATGAAAACATATTCTATAATAGTAATTAAAATTGAAATCAACTTAACTTGTTTGAATGTAAAATTAACTCAAGTTAATTTAAAGTTAATTTAAAAATTCCTTAAGTTAATAATTAAGTTAATAATCATAAAAAAAATTAAACTATCAAGTTAAAAAGTTAAATTAACTTAACTTATTAACTTAACTTTAACTTATTAACTCGTTAATGCCCAGCCTTGTAATATAGCTAAGATTTTAAAATTGAATTCAAGATTTCCATAAATTCTGTTTAAAATAATTATTAAAAAAATTGTGAGGGTAATTCCGTTTAAAAATTTTACGAATGGCTGAAGTTTTATTGTTTTACTGTTATAAATTAGATATTATTTACTGTACTGTCTGTACTAGTGTATTGTATATATTTTTTTATTGAGTAAGTATTTAAAAATACAATAAATACAGGTCGCGTAAATACGTGCAAATATTTAAAATATTACGGTGGCAATGCGACATAATGTACGTGTAACGTGTATGCATTTTATATTATTTACGCGATCCACCATAGACGAAGGTTGAGAAAATAATAAACGTCGCTCCCGAAGGAGCACAATCGTTGGCCGGCCGCCGACGACGAGTAGTGGGCGCAACTTAACACTCGAGTGCTTGCGCACCGCGAAAACACCGAACAGCGCGTTCTCTCGGTCGTTGTATACGTTTCGCTTTCGGTGTGACGGCCTCTTAAGGGTGATAAATAGGGCTAGGATTTTAATGACCCAAAAAACCTAAAAAAATGACATTAAAATAACCTAAAAATGACCTTAAAATAACCTAAAAATAACCTAAAAATTACCTTAAAAAATGCCCAAAAGATAAAAAATGATTTTAAAATGTTATAAAAATGCATTATAATTATTAATTAATATTTCGATAAAAAATTATTTAAATTATAATATTATAAAAAAATAGCAAAAAAAAATGTTAATTTAGGATTTTCTTGATATGAATAATAAAGTTTGAAGTTTGGACTTATCATGCAATGGCCAGCTTAAAATTTTCTGAAAAAAAAAACAACAAAAATACTATAAAATAAAAAATATATACGTATATTTTTTTTATTCTGAAAATTACGTTTAAATTGTATTGTTGCATTGGACAATCAGTAGCTCCTTCAAATTTTCAAATACAAATGACCGCCGATTATCTGCTAGCGATGTTTTGTAGCATGAAAAACTTCTTTCCACATCCACAGAAGTAATCGGAGCAAATTTCATGTACGTGATATCGTCGATATTGAACTCATCAGGGAAATGAGCCATGTCTGATTCATTTCCATCAATTATTTTTGATATTTTACTTAACACACTACTACACACTGTACTCTCCACATCACTGTCATTTAATTTAACGATTAAGATAACTCGAGGTATCGAAGATTATTCTCTATACTATCTCTATAATTGAAATATTGAATATGATATTATTTCTGTTACAAATTCAAAACTTTTATCGAGAACATCTAGTGTAAATGAAAATGTATGAAAATATTACCTAGATTTCAAAAAAGTATAAAAAATGCCCTTAAAATTGAAAAAATGACCTAAAAATGATAAAAAATGACCCTAAATCCTTAAAAGTACAAAAAATGCAAAAAAAAGCAAAATCAAAACTATAAATTTGGACTCGTATATGACCAAATCACATTTTGTGCTTGAAAAGCTATGTCCTGTAAATCCCCAAAAAAAATGCAAAATCCTATACTATCCTAGCCCTAGTGATAAATATGTCTTATGGATGTCAAGTTTAATAAAATAATAACCACTCGAAGGCATATGATTTTAAATAGTAAAATAAGTATACCATTAGAAATATTTGATATTTACTTGTATTATGTTACACATTATATTGATTTATTTCTTAGAAATCGTGTTTGCTAGTAATTGCGTTTGGAATGAAATAAGTGAACAGCTTGATAACCGTATGTCTGGAAAGGCTATATACACATTTGTTTTTGAAGGAAGATACTCTGTTAAGGAAAAACTAGGATTTTCTACTCCAAAATCTATTTCAGAAATAAATATACCACGTCAAGTCTCAAATGAAGCAAGTAAGTAAAGCATATGGGAATATACATCGTAATAGATAATATTCAGATAATGAGTTACGTATTATTCATACAATTTTAATATTAGAAATACATAAAATATTACGATAATATTGTTAGTTTATATGAATTTACAGTAAATGATATTACTAGCAGCGATAGTAGCGACCAGTCTGAAATGCCATCAAAAAAGTTTGTTTTTACTTTTTCGGTAGATGAATGGAAAACAATTCAGCCACAAGAAATGAATTATAAAATGATTGACAAAACAAGACGTATGCAAAACACCAGGTTATAAAAATGTTAATTTGAGTTTAATTGAATTCTAAGTCAATTGTTTATTTTAGATTGTATTATGTTTTGCCAAAATCTAATTGGACTCCTATTATGGCTGAACATTTTTAGGAACATACTAGTTTACCATGTTGTTTGTCGTTCAAAAGAGCAAAAGTAACTCCTGATAGTTATAACTACGTAGTAGTTGTTGCACGATGCACTGTCTGCAAATCACATTTTAAAGGAACTATAGCTGAAAGACCATCAGACAATTCTAGGTAATATTCTGTTATCAAAAAAAAAATTTACCTATAAATGTTAAATTTCTAATGTTGGTAAATATTGATAATTTTAGAGTGCTAATGAACTGTATTTACACTGGTAATTATAACGATGAATATAAAATTTCACGAAAGCGACGATTGTTAGGACCTACGATAAGTAAATACACAACATCCGTTGTTAAGGAAGGCATATCATGTGAAACCACTAGGGAACGAGAAGCTCCTCGTTTAATGAAAATGGGTGAGTAAAAAAAAATAACTACTTTATTCATTAATACCAAACAACTTAAAGAGTTAATTATATATAGTATTTATATATTTTATTATTTTAAAATTGCTTCAACAATAAAGGTTATGAAAATTAAAATTTTAGATTATGTGTGTTTTTTTTTTGTATTCTGTCACTAAGTGTCATAACTTTTTAGGATAGTAAAATGCTTGAATTTTCTTCAACTGTATATTTTCCGATAGCAAAGTCTAGTCGATACTTTAGGTGGTCAAAAGTAAAAATTTTCCAGTAGTTTTAAAAAGTGCCGTGATAATTACAAATGAAAAAAAAGGTGGGCAAGTGGATGTCGCTCTGCTGTACTGTAGGTTACAAGTTGGTCACTGTATAATGGATGGTATTAAATTTGAATTCAATGATATAATATCATTGTATAAAAAAAACGATTTTGAGTGGAGACGGTATGTCAGTATAGGTTTAAGACATATTATATACATATCTATGGTATTAAAAAAAAAATTGACCTACCTATAATAGCTACATATTAATATTATACTAAATTCCAAAATTAATCATATCACAATATCCAAAAACAAACAAACCGTGATACTATCATAGATATATAATAGTACACTTTAGAAGTTTCAAGTACCCACGAATAATATTATACAATCACAACAAAATAACTAAAATAGTTATTCTAGGTTTTTATGTAATTTCGTCCAAATTTGAACTTAAAATTACTATAAAAATAAATTGTGATTGTGTATTTTTTAGATTTTTTGGTAACAGAATTAACGACTTACATGGAATATTGTTTTAAATTTTCAATCCTTAGGTATAAAAGTTGAACATTTTATAAATTTTTAACTACAAAATAATTATTCAACTTTAAATTCGATACATTTTGTCAAAATTTGATCTTTAAATGCTTATAAAAAAAAAACTGTGCCTATGTATTTTTAATATTTTTCAACTGCTATTGTAAAAATATATCAGTAGTCTTGTATTAAATTTTTACACTTTTTGGCACAACAGATAAAACTTTATTGATATTTATAGAAAAAAAAACTAAAAAAATTTAAAACTGTAAATGTCCGTAAACAGCTCAAAAAGAGTAAAAATATTTTCAAAATTGTATGGTGTATAAAAAACATTCTGTGAAGTTTTCATGTACTTACAGTTATTCGTTTTTGAATTACAAAAAATTAAGAAAATCGCTACATGAGAAACCAAGTAAATATCCAATATTGTATAATTATGATCTTTAAACGCTCATAAAAATTTAATTTGACTTTCCGGAAGAGATTTTGAAGTTTGAAGTTCATAATTTTGCAACACTGGATATTCTCTCGATTTCTCATGTAGCGATTTTCTTATTTGGTTGTAATTCAAAAATGAATAATTTCACTGCATGTTTATATTCTAATTTCTTATATACCATATAATTTTGAAAATATTTTGATTCGTTTTGAGCTATTTATAGACACTTTCAGTTTTCAAAATTTTTTTGGTTTTGTGACAAAAAGTCTGAACATTTAATACAAGGTTTCTGACATATTGATAGAACAGAAGTTGAAAAATTTTAAATTCAAATTTAATACCATCCATTATACAGTGACCCACTTGTAACCTACAGTACAGCAGAGCGACATCCACTTGCCCACCTTTTTTGTATTAAACTTTGCTTTTTTTTATAATATTAAGAAAGTATAAAAGTATAAAGTATATAGCAAAAATAATAATTTATTTTATAATAAATTATACTTTATATTTTTAAATATGCTTAGGTGATTGTGAACCACCTATCATTCAAAGTGGAAATTCCTTGCGATCTTTAAAGAGTAGAAAATTAGCATCTGAAAGACGTCATGTAGATACTTTAACATCAATAGTTCTCATGGCAAAAGAAGAGGAATATAATAATATTTTACATGATATTGGATGTAATCCATTTTTTGTGCATTACTTCTGTTCTGAACAAATTAAAATTTACAGACAATATTGCCGCAGTGTAAGATATCCAAAGCTAGTAATTGATGCGACCGGTTCAGTAGTGAAACCGTTTAAAAAATTGAATGCTGTGAAAACTAATTCTATTTTTTTATACGAAGGTCTTGTTTATGACGATAAAAAAAATATAGATTTACAGCTACAAATATGCTGAGCGAACGGCATACGAGCGTTGCAATTTCTAATTGGCTTTTTAATTGGTTAAGCAGTGATATACCTATTCCAAAACAAACAGTGTGTGATCAATCTTTAGCCCTTTTATCCGCCATTGTAAAATGTTTTACACAGTACTCCACCCTCCAAGATTATGTTAGAGCATGTGCAAGTCTACTACATGGAGATGTTCCATTGAAATCTCATTGGGTTCCCAGATGCTTTGTTCGAGTAGATATTGAACATTTTATAAAGACTATTAGCAAATGGATACCATTAAAATCTGTTGCACGAAGAGTTCGAGAAGTAATTCTTCGAGCAATGGGATTTTTAATTCAAAGTCAGTCACTGATAGAAATGCGATCGATTTTTCTATCATTGTTTGTAGTCTTTACAAATGAAACCGACGGCACTGATATTCATGGCGAAGACACTCCATGTGAAAAACATCGACAAAATTTGATTTCAGCTACATCATTGGGTTTTATTGATTTTCAAACTCAGTTTGATGAATTAATCGCCATGATAGAATGTGAGGATGATGCAAGACAAATCATCGAAGATGAATACGAACGGCAGAATGAAGGGCTGGAGTTATTTGAAAATCCATTTCAATCATGGACTAATGAAATTTCCAATGAAATTAAAATGCTCATTAAAGAAGGAACCGGAATTAACCCATTATATTTACCAAATTTAGTTCCACATTTAATAAAATGTACCAAGCTATTACCATTATGGTCGGGAGTTATGGTACCAATTTTTGGTTATGGAGAAGAGGTATCATGCTCAGCAGCTGTTGAGTCGAGTTTTAAAAAACTTAAGACCGTGACATTAAAACACGTAGACTTGCCAACAAACTTAGAAAGATTTTTAGAGAATCATATAATGTCTCTAAAAAGCTCATCTATGTTGCGAGCAGCTAAATATCACACACCGGTATCATCTCCAAATTATGAAGAAAACCACGAAGAGTTAATTTCACACCCAGAATAAGAAGTAACAGCAGAATATGCAACTCTAAGTAAAATACCGACGCAATCTCCAGTTTCAATAAGATGTAATGATGACGAAGACCATGCCATATATCGTCACCATAAGTCGTCTTCTGATGAAGAAGAATTAGTTGACTATAATTCTGATGATATGTTATATATTCCAAAAAGCAAATGTTCATTATGCAGTACAGGTAAAAATTAATACAATATAATGTTTAATTCATCAATTGTTTTATAGTTTAACTTCATAACAGTTAATATTAATACTGTTAATTCAAAAGACCCGAATGTTTTGTCTCCAAGTCTCCAAATTACAACACAAATTTGTCTTGAAATGCATAACATAACAAATTGTACGTTAACAATTCACTGTTTTAAAATACTCATAACTTGTCTTAAAATTAAAATATAAAAAAAACCCTACGAGGATAATATTCTAATATTCTTACTTCTAAATTTGATCAATTCGCTCCAATAATCATCATAACAAAGCTAAATCAATTATCCAAAACGTACAATTTGCTATTTTAGGCGTTTGTAAGACGGAGACAACACATGCAGGTGCGGTATCCTCTTAAGAAACAGGAATCTTTTTGATTGTAAAATGGTTGTTTTAGCTTATTTAAAAAAAATTATAGTTTTTGTATATAATATAATACAATTGTATTTACAAATTAATTTTAAGAATATTATACAATTCCCAGCTTGATATTTAAATTTCTGTTTAATAATTTTATTTTATTCATTCCTTAACATTTTCAGGAAATCCTCCAAAAGTTGGTGCAAATAAATGTTCTAATTGTAAAAAACTGGTACATACCTTTTCAACATGTTCAGTTGAAAAGCCAGGAACACAATATGATCGTTTATGTATGGTGTGCTCTTTATTAGAAGAAGATAACATAAGGACTGAAAATAATGCTCAAGAAAAATGGAATCGAAAAAATAAGAAGCAGAGAAAAAACAATTCCTATCTAACTCCAAATCCCCATTTAAGATATTTGACCCTGACCAAGTCAAATAGTAAGAGAACACTGCCAGTGTTAAAAAATGGATCAAGGTTTGAAGAACTGAAAGGATGCAGAACAAATGCATTTGAAGGGAGAGTTATATTTAATAACACGTGCGCATTTGACTCATTGGCGTCACTTATCATGGTATGTAATTTTATATTTGATTCAAAATATTAAATAATTTTATCGTGCATATTTATTAAAATATATTATATTATAATTTATAATAATGAGTTGGTAATATAAATATCGTACAAAATGTACCCCAACATTTAAGAATAAACTTTAAAAATAAGTATATAATATGTTTAACATTGTTTATATAGGTAATAGTTATTTAAATAAAACTACATATTATGTAGTTAGGCTATAATAATACCTAACCAAAAAAAATTAATACCTACACTTTATTAGAATTAATATATCAAATAAAATTTTAATTTTTTTTTAATTTAGGTATCATATTGTGACAGTCAAAAATATTCAGAAATGTTGGATATTTCTGAAAAATCAGATTTTATAAACTTTATTTGTAAAATTTTGAATTCTGGGATAACATCTGCATCATATTCACAAAGAGCTGATTTAATTATAAACAATTTGACTGTTGAAATAAAAGAAATGGAATATGCCACTACATTAGTTGTATGTGCATTGTGCATCTACTATTGGCCATGTAATTGACTCTTTGATGGAGAAGTATCCATCAGCAAAAGAAATTTCTAACTGTCCAGTGTGTAAAAATATCAATAAACGAAAAATTATGCATTTCACATTCCAAATTAATGATGACGATAATATTTCTAAATTACAAAATTTCTTTGATGAGGGTTTAGAAAAAGACTTTTTAATTTGTGGCCATAATGATTGCAAAGGTCTTAAGACAGTCACTACTGACATTTCGAAAATGCATATATTTATTGATATTCTTATTTGGGAAGGTAAATAATATATATATATTTTTATAACAATTTAATATTTGATTGACATATATGTTAAATAATTGTTTTATTTATGTATTAAAATATGTAAATAGGCGAAGAAGCCATTTCCAGCCAACGCAGTAGTGAGGCAGCAACCATTTTTAAGATAAAGCTGTGTGACATACCGGAATTAATAACAGTAAAATCTACAGTATATGAACTAAGAGGCGCTTTAGCTTTTCAACGCCCTAAAAGTTCGTTGAGAAATTCTGTTGGGCACTATACAACATACACAAAAAGAGGATCTAAAAATTGGGAGCTTTATGATGACCTCAAGAAACTTCCTGTCCAAGTGAAAGAGCAGACAATAGTTCCGGTCGAATTTTTGTTTTATTCTGTTTAAAGAATATTATTATTTTAATTATTCAGCGAAAGAATTTTTTATTTTAATAAAGTTGAGTTTGTTTCTTTTTATATTATTTTATTATTTTTGTAGAGTTATATTTAGTTATATTCAAAATTCTTGAATTTTTAAAAGACAAGAGTAGTATATATGTACCATTCCTGGCGCACCTCATAATATATCAGTAAAAGATCACAAAGAAAACAATGTGCAAAAAGATCAGAAAATTGAAATGCAATAATAATAAAAAAATTTTTCACAAAACTTATGAAATGCAATAATAATAAAAATATTATCCGCAAAACTTAATTATTAAAAATAAAAATTGAAATGCAATAATAATAAAAAAAATTTTCACAAAATTTATGAAATGCAATAATAATAAAAATATTTTCCGCAAAACTTAATTATTAAAAATAAAAATTGAAATGCAATAATAATTAAAAAAATTTTTCGCAAAACTTATGAAATGCAATAATAATAAAAATATTTTTCGCAAAACTTAATTATTAAAAATAAAAATCGAAATGCAATAATTATAAAAACATTTTTCGCAAAACTTATTAAATACATTTTCACCCCCAAAATATTTTTCATAATACTTATGATATTAATAATTTTGACGCGGTCGAATTATACGACCGCGTCAAAATCGAAATGTAATATAGTGTATTAAAAAATATTTTTAAAGAAATTGAATACCTTAGTTAAAGGAATTGATATTTATAATAAAAGAATGGAATCTATAAACAATCATAATGAGTTACAAGAAACCGAAATGCAAAACGAAGTAGAAAACTATATATTAAATAAAAAAATAAAAAAATGTTATGTGAAATTTTGTGCTTTTAAATATTATAAAAATAATGAAATTATTAAATATAATCTAAATGAAATTCCGATTGAAGGAAATATTTTAATTGTTGGAAGCAATATTTATGGAAAAGGAAAACCTTATGCTTCTAAAATACTAGAATCGCCAACATGGCTTGAAATTTGTAAAATAGCTAATGATTTAATAAATACAACTGGCACTTATAAATGCAAATATCTCCATGATATTTTTGTTGTTCAAGATTTAGTAAATATTAAAATATGTTGTCTTACAATTAAATCATTCTATTATCTATAAATAAGAATTTATTAAATGTTTTTAATTAGAAAACTATTCTTCAATTTGAAGAATTGATCTATTAAAAAAATGTTCAATATTTAACGCGTGTCCCATTCAGACACGCGTTATTAACACGTTGAAGACTATACAATTATTTTTTAAGATAATATTATCTTAAAAAATCTTATAAAGCACGGTCTTCGTCCTAAACGTGTTAAAATCCAAAAATCTTTAAAAACGATTTTACACTATGATACTATGAGTTGGACTTATAAAGAATTAAAATCAAAAATGTTTAATGTAAAAATGAAGATTCTAACATAAATAGCAACGGAGTTATACTTAAATGAAAAATATGAAGCGGGGGGTAAACTTTTAATATGTAGTGTAGATAAGTATATAAAACATATCTGTGTTGTTCCGACTTGATAATATCAAATATTAAATGAAATATAGGACTTGTAATATTTAACAAGGTCAAATTATATGACCGTGTAATAATAATTTAAATCGAAAAAAAAAAATAGAAACAATTTGCAAAAGTAGCCCCCATTGTACAGACATCGGTTTTTTTATTTTTATTTTTTTATTTTTTTTATTTTTTTGACATCTGTACAACAGGGGGCTACTGAGATGTGTAGCCTTCATCGTATCACAACACAATGAGGAGACGTTATATGTAGACTCCAGGGACCAGTGAGGAGAACCTTATCTATGATATCACAGGTAAAACTATTGTCTTAAATCCGACTATACTCAACATATAATCGAACAAGCCACATGTCGTGTGTAGAGCTGTAAATACCACAAATAAAATCCCACCCAGCCAGTATCGAACCTACAACTGTATGCATACAAAGCCTAACATCTCCCCACTGCGCCACGACACTCGGGCATGTATAATAGTATAACAAACACTATTTAAATAGTATTAAGCTAGTATAATTATATCACACTGTATACTATAATATACTCACGCTGTATAGTAGTCAGTAGATAAGCTATTCAATACCGGATGTTAAAAAATAATCATTCTAGCTGCATATTATTATTATTATTATTCGAATCGTGTACTTCATGTAATTCATCATCAATTATTCGAAATGTTTGGAGTTTCCCTATACCTTGTTCTTGTTCAAACAAATTTAAAAGTGTTGTTATATTAATATCAAAATCACTATCATTAAACATGGGGCTTAGGATTTTACGTTGTTGTTCAATCATATTTAAAAGTGTTTTCAAATTTTCCATTTCTATTATTTATATTAGTAAATATATTTTTTTTTAACACCGATAATTTATTAACTATTATAAGGACAGACAGATGGACGTTCAATATTATTATGTTTGTCTGTCTGTTTGTCTGTCTGTCTGTCTGTATGTCTGTTTGTCTGTCTGTCTGTTTGTCTGTCTGTCTGTCTGTTCGTAAAGATTAACATTGTTATGTTATTTAGAAATAAATATAATTTAAATATGCGATTAAAAAAAAAAATACATCTCTATTATAATCTATATATATAAAAATGAATGTATGTCAGTGTGTCAGTGTGTCTGTGTGTCTGTGTGTCCATGTTACCATGGTTACCAAGGTTGCCATGGTTACTAAGGTTACCAAGATTTCATATCAATCTATATATATATAAAAATGAATGTATGTCAGTGTGTGTGTGTGTGTGTGTGTGTGTGGGTCCATATTACCATGGCAACCATATCTGTATATAAAAAACAGTAAGCTGATTGACTGCTATCAACGCACAGCTCAAACCATTGGACGGATCTGTCTGAAATTTGGCATACAGATGGCTATTATAATATAGACGTGCGCTAAGAAAGGATTTGCCGAAATTCGCATTTTAAATAGGTGCTGAAACAGGGACATTGAGATTCACGATAGAAATTGGAAATTTTATTTTTATTTATTTATAGTTGCCATTGGTTACAGTCTACATTAGAAATTAGCATTTATTTATTGGTTGCCATTGGTTATTCGGGCAGATCAGGTACAAGCTTGCATCAAATCGAATTATTGAACAATGCTTACCAGGGTGGCAGAGTTGCACTTACCGCAGAAAATTACACCCAAAAGGAGTTCAACAATCATAATTTTTTTAAGAGTTGCGATTTTTTACGAGCAACCAAATTTATTATATTAATCCACAGTATTACATCAAAATAAACTTGGTATAACTTTGATACTTTAGAGTTAAATCATACACTTCCGTACAAACAGCACGGGGTCCGCGATCTACCGCAGGTAGATTGCCTACCTGATAATGTACTGCCGCGATTCAGAATTTTTATTCAGGGCAACGGGAAAGATAAGATAAATTTTGAACACCATACACGTTAATGAATTGAACTAAGTTTGAGTAGGTAGTATTGAGTTGATCCATTTAACGGGCGACGAAGTGCACGGGATCAGCTAGTAAATAATAGAAATGGAAAATTTGAAAACACTTATAAATAATTGCAACGATCAATATGATTTTGTAAAAGTATGTGACTTAGAAAAAGGAAAAAAATATGAGGTTACTCGTTTCAAATATATTGATACAATTTATGGTAAGACAATAGTTGTTATATTAGATAAAAAATTGCAAGTATTTTTACCAGATAAATTTTTAGATGTGTTTACAAAAGAAAATATTTCATTATATAATCTAAGTTCGAAAAAATTTAATCTTGTTTATAATGGATTACAAAATTTAGATAACGGAAGCACAAAGCAATTGATACAATTTGAATAAAATAATATTATATAATTATAATAAATATATATATAATTATAATAAATATATATATAATTATAATAAATATATATATAATTACTTTTATAAATGGTATTTATAAAAGTTAAAAACGGTTGTATTTATTTATCAAACAAATATTATAATAATAATAATTATAAAATAGGTCTGGATTCAATATTTATTAAAGGGTTAAATTGGTTTAATATTGAAACAGATTGTAAAATACAAATTAATGAAAAATGTATAGAAATAAAAAAAGGAGAATATAGTATTAATGAATTAAACAAACAATTTCAACCTTTACTGTTCTCTTATGCTAATAAAAAAATTGAAATAAAATCTCCTTGTTATTATAATTTAGATGAAAATTAAAAAAATTATTTAGGTTTTCAAAACATAACAATTGATTTTTTATTAACTATTAATAAATCAGCAATGTATGTTCCTACTTCCAATGATCAATATATAAATATAGAGAAAGAATGTGAGATTAAAATATTTAATGATGATGTAAATTCAAATACAATTTATAAAATACCTATTGGTATTTATTTATTATCTGAATTAGAAGCAATATTGAATACTGATAGAAATGATGATATAATACTTACAATAAATGAAAAAAATAAATTAAATATTGATACTAACTTGCATAGTTTTGTTATAGATCCTTATTTAAAGAATTCTATACATTTTTATACACAAGGTTTTTTTAAAAATTTTAATGGTGTTATAACGAGTCGAAGTAATAACATAAAAACTATGATAAAGGGAAATTATTCAATTGATCAATTGAATAGTAAATTACCATTAGGTATTAAATTACAAAATGATAATAATTGTATTACATTTACTTCAAAAACTGATTTTTTGATGGATCAAAATTTTAAAACAAGTTTAGGGATTGATAACATGTATTTTTTATATAAACACATTGGAGAAGTCTTAAATAATAATAATAATATAAATAAACGATTATTAGAAGTACAATGCAATATAATTGAAAAATCTTTTTCATCTGTTAAGGATAGTCATCACATCGAGGAAGATGTTTTGTATAATTTTTATTATGATTATGATAATCCATATACAAAAACTAATTCAATAATATACATACCAGTTAAAGGACATTTTCA